TGCTCCTCCCTTGCTTTCCGTAATTTTAGCAATGCAGAATCACAAAGGGCAACCAATATGAAGGGTAATCCCAGAAAAATCCATGAACAATTTTYCACGTTCTTGAAAATTCAGACTCAGTTCATTTTCATTTAGTTTTTTCAAGTTGCAGCTTCTAATTGTATGTGTCTACATAACAAGTATAATCAGTGAGCCAAAATGAAATATCCCCAACCTCTGCCCTTCTCATCAATCACAAACCATTAAAGGAAAAATAGCAGGTTCAAGTGGAAGAATCAGCTCTGGAAGGCCAGCTCTGTCCATCTGTTCTGTTAGGCTCTKCACAGAGGCAAGACCTAAACCCCAGCCAGAGAGAATGCAAATTAACCATGTCCAATGACATCCTATCTGCCCTGGAGTTARTCTTGAAGGAGACTTAAAATGAATKCTGATTTAAGAAAAATAAATCCTGATTTCAAATGATTGGAAAGCAGTGGGATTAGAGGACTCTGAAGATGCCAGGGGTCTGGAGGTTGCTGTGGAAGGCCTGCTTTTTCCCTGTCACAGTGTGTCCTGTGTGGAGGGTCCTGGGTTTGGAGAGAGACCTACTGGGGTTTCAAATTCTGCTTCTGTTACTTCACAATTATGGCCTCTTGGATGTGCGTTTGGTCCAGTACCAGCCTCAGTTCTCTCACCTGTAAAATGGGCACCTTCACCATAATCCTGGAAAGAGCTCATATGGAGACAGAGGAGGTGCTTAATAAAGGGTTGATCCTGTAAACTACTTTGGTTTCTTGCCCTGAAGACCCTTGGGGGCCCAGGTTGGGCCTCGAGTGCTGGGGGTGCCCTAGCTTTGCCTTCTTTGCTTGGTTGTATTTAAATGGAATGTCCTGGGCTTTGGAGAGACCAACAACAAACACCAGAGAAGGCCCTGTGACCTGGCTACGGCTGTAGTCTAGGCTCTCGCACTCACCAGGATTGGTTCACATCTGTCCCTCCATTCTACATCATTGAGCTAATGGAGGGTGGTGATGGGTGGTGGGGACAGGGCTTGCTGGGCTCAGCAATCACTGCTCTTTCACCTCACATGCACCAGTCCTAACCCAAACCCATGGTCTTCCCCTAGGCATTGTGCTCTTCCTGCTACCTCGAAGGACCAACCTCCTCCTGCCCCAWCTCTATGTCCTCCCCTCCTCTGTGAGCTTTGTACATCCATCCTCTAGGGAAGTGTCTCCTTTAAGCATCTCTCCTGTCCTCCCCTTCCTGTGGTCACTCCCAGCCCAACCTTGATAGGGTCCCTCACTGATGTTCCCCTGAAGTACTTTAATCCTAGACCCCCCCACCTCTACCCATTTGCCAATGGTGGCTGGCGTGCTGTCCTGGTCCAGGTCTCAGGTCACATACTTCTGCTCAAAAGCCTGCCCTGGCTCCCTCCGGCCAGAGCTGAGCAAGGCTTTCATGGCCTGTTCACATCTGATTAAATAACCTCTCAAGCCCACCCTCTTCTCTCCCACCATCAGCAGGTGCCCACACTCCCGTCCATCTTCTTTGACTCTTTCTGCCTCTTTGACTCTTTCTGTGCTGGTACCTTCTCTGCCATCCCCTGTCTCCCTTGTCCACTGCCCCTGTCCAGGGTCTACACACCTCTCCATCACAAAGCTGCTCCCCCCTTACAGGACCCAGCGGAGCCTGATGTGCATCAGCAGAAAGATGGCGAGGAGCTCACAGGCTCTGACCACTGGCCACCTTCACCTGTCCATGGAGGTGGCTTCTGCCTGAGGAGGTGCCTGTGTGGATGTGGGCGGATCCATGTTGAACACGATCCGTGAAGCAGGGGTGCCCAGCGCCTGCAGCAGACTCACATGGGTCCTGGAAAGATTTCAGACGCCCAGGTCTTGACCCTGCCCACAGAACCAGAATCTGGGAGGGGGCAGAACAGGAATCTGGTTTGAACAAGTCCTCTGGAGATCTTCAGGCTTGAAAACACCTTTGGTAAGGGACCCCAGTGTAAAGCTTTGAGGAGGCATGGAGGTTTAATGAAGGAAATTACATATCACACCAGTAAGTATAAATATGTGACATTGGAGAGGGGTGTGTGTGTGTGTGTGTGTGTGTGTGTGTGTGTGTGTAACTGATTTGTTTCAGGGGCTATGGTAGGATCTTACTAAACCCTTACTATCCCCTGAAGCAGTTTCAATAGTCCTAATTTTACAGATGAGGAAACAGAGGCTTCGAGAGGGGAGGTAACTGATATTTAACCACACAGCTGGAGGGTGGCGGGGTCCACATTTGAACCAATGGGTGAGTCCAAAGCCCATGCTCCAGCCAGTTTGTGATGTGTTTGTGAGCTGGGATTTGCATGGGACAGGCTTTCCTTAACTTTTCAGGAACAGGCCCGCATGCTTTATAGCTAACTGCAACCTGGCTCATGACCCTCCCTGGGGTTCTGAGGTTCCGAGAGTCCTTCCCTCTGGCCTCCCCTCCCCAGGACAAGTCCCAGTGGGTTTCAAAAGGCAATCCTYCACTGTGCTCCAGAGAAGCTGTTTGGGGCGGGGGTGAAGCAGTCCTGCCATGATTTGGTTTTGGAATAAGCTGAGGAACCAGAAACAGAAGGCAGGGAATGAGGCTTGTGGGTGCAGGAATGTAAGAGAAGCCATAGCCCAAAACATCTGCCCTGGCTTTGAAATGGGACTGCAAATTTTACTTCTTCAAGTTCAGATGCATCTGATTTTAAAAAAGAATGATCAGTAGAATGAATACTGTTGCTATCAGTCTTCTGTCATACACATAAACTAACACACTCAGTTACTCTTCACAAATAGGAAAAACATGCTGRGACTATTCCATTTGGAAAATGAGAGTTTTAAATTATATTGTTTGTTTTCTGTCATTGAAAAGAGGTCTCCATATTTAGGGAATGAGCGCAATACTTCTATTACAGTGCTACTAGTGCTTCGAACAGTTCTGTGGAGCAACACTCTGTTGGGTAGAGGGGGCCCGTGGTTTAAGAGCCTAGACTCCATTGCTGCAGGACTTTTCGGTGCCTTTAAAAATGCTAATCCTCTCTGTGAATTTTTAGGAAGGGKATATAATTCCCCACATTTGACCATGGGCCTTTTCACAAAATCTTGGGTGACTAACAGCCACTAGAATACAATTTGCAGAATCCAGGATCAAAAAAATCCCTTCCCTGCACAGAACATTYTATAGCTAGATTCCAGTGGGCTTCAGACACTATCTCATTCAATAGGGACAAAGAAGAGGGTCCTTTGAGGTGTCAGGGAGCAAGGGCAAGACTGGAGGGGCATTGTCTGGGGAAGCTCTGATAAAGTAGGGACAAAGCATTCATGAGAGTCTGTTCATTCACTCCTGTCTTCCCTGGGGCAGGGCCTGCAACTGCTTGGAGGCTTACCTGCCTCCCTAGAACTGACTTGACTCATAGGGCTCCTGCGGGAGCATTATGTCCCTCACATGGCTCCCCAGCCAGCAGGAAGCTCCAGATAGGCACTTTCCTGGCTTCTTGTTGCAGGTACKTGGCATGGTCGTGGGGAGGCACAACCTACCAGAGGCCCATTGCATGGCCTTCAGGTCACAGGCTTGAGCCAAGGCTGGCCCTGGACCACATGGCTGGATTTTAGCTTTCCTATCCTTCCCTAGCCCCAGGATGCCCAAGATCATTGAAAAAMATATGATCATTCAAATTATTCCATAGTCTGCTAATACCAGGTGCTCTATCTCTTGGGTTAAACCTAAGAGCATTTCTAAGGTGGGATTCTGGGCTCTTTCCAGCAGGATGAAGGAGATGATCTTGATCCTATGGGCCCAGGGCCCTGTAATTGATCCACCATGGATCCGTCCCCACCCCATTTGCCCCTCTGTCCTTCCAGGTGCATGATACCCTTTGTGTATCCTGCAAGAAAAGATGATTCTGCCCACAGCAATAAGCCTAAGGTTCTGAAGGCACCAGGAGGCTTCAGCAGTGTTGACCCATCACCACTGAGCATCCCCTGGCCAGGACCCAGGGGAGCAGCTCAGCAGGAGTGTCCGAGCCAGCAGGGACCAAGTCCTTACCTTGTGCCTGGCCCCATTGCAAGTGTTGTGCCTACTAACTTGCTTAGTTGTCAGAGTGTCCCAGTGAAGGAGATGCTATTTTTGTGTTCTCCATTAATAGAAGAGGAAAAACGAGGACAGAAAAGCCAAAGGATATGCCCATGTCGCGCCCCCCCTCCCCTCCCCTGGCCCAGCTAATAAGTGGAACAGCCTGACTTGAACTCAGGCCTCTTGGTGCAATGCCTACAGTGCCCTGCAGGGGCGCTGTGGAGAAAACATRATGAGGTTGGACGGATGTGCACTCTGGGGTACAGGGACCAAGTGCAAAGGGTCCAGAACAGCTGGCACCCCAGACCTGCTGGGCTTCTGGGACATCTTTGCGTGGTCTGCTCAGGGCAAGGTGCAGRCTGGAAGGCGTGTGTATCTAAAAAAGAATGTTTGAGAACTAATGTGCTATATCCAACAGGATGTCTCCCAAATGGGGGATGTTTAAGAACAAGTAGGAGATATCGTGCTGGCCAGAGAATATTTCTCAGTAAAAAAGTCCTCTGCTGCCACTTCCACAAACCATCTAATAAAAGAAAGAAACAACAACAACAACACACACACACACACACACACACAAATTAAATGAAATCAACTAATGGTAAAGCCATGCCAAAAAAACAAACAAACAAACAAAAAAACCCATCACACTGGCAGTGACTTCCTTTGCCTGTGGGCAAAACTGACCCATCTAGAAATAAAGGGAGATAGATATAAAGGGTTTCAAATCCTGGGAGTGAGTTTTGTTTTTCCRTTTAATAATGCCAGGTTTCAAATGGGGAAGAATATGCTTGTCACTATTACACTCGTTCTGTTTAAAACACATCCAGGGACCTTAGTGGGGCTCCATCAAGAGTGAGAGGGTCCCCATGCTGCTTCCTGAAGCCGTAGAGAACGCTGCATCTTGGCAGGCGTCCCATGCCCCATCACTTCTTTTTGAACACTTGATGGCACACCTGGTCACCACAGGTCAGCTCCTGCAAATGACAGAAAGTGGATGAGTGGCTAATAAGCCAGGATTTCCAGTTACCCAGCACCCRGCCTTTGTGGTGTCTGGGGTAGGGACTGGGGGTTGGAATAAAGAGGACACTTAGTCATTTTGGGCAAAGTGCATTCCTCAGACCCAATCTACCGGCATGCCCTGCAGATAGCAGTAATTTGATTTTTGACACTCAAATTGAGCTTGAACAACTATAAAAATGAAAAATGTAAAGAAATGACCCTCATGGGCGGGATTTTTCCTACTCCCATGATTAAAGCAACATGGCTTAATTTATAAATGGTAGTGGAGTCACAAGGAGAGGAAAGATCCAGTATGCAAAAGTGTTAGGAAGGCCAGGACTGGGGAGGATGAGCTGCCCTTCCATTCTGTGAGCTTTTGGGGCTCTGGTGATCAGACTGGTGACTGGCAGTGGCACAGTGAACTGCAGCATGGTTCCCCCAAGTCTGGCCCTGCGGCTGACCAGGTCCTGTTTTTCATCCAAATAGAGAGAGCCCCAGATCTTATCTTCCCCTCACTGATCTTTGAAGGAGGAGGAAAAAGAGRAGTGTGGGGAAGACCACCATTCTCTTTGCAGTTGGCAATAGATCTGTTGTCTCAGCCCCAGGTACCACTGGGATGGTATTACAATTAAAAAAATCCATCATAGAAACCAGTGCAGGTAGGGAAAACTGTCAGTAGAAAACACAGAGAATGCTTTCCATATATCATCAGCTGACACTGCCTCTGAAATAAAGACCTCAGGTGAAGCAAGTTTGGCTCTGAAGGGCACCATGGTGACCTGGATACTGACACTGGAGCCAATGACCTGCCTGGGCTCGGGATAGAGTTCAGTTAGTAGAGTGCTTGCCTCGCATGCACAAGGCCCTGGGTTCAATCTGCAGTACCCCCCCCCTCCAAAAAAAAAAAAAAAACCTCAAACCAAACAGCTCCATAGGAGAATGAATGAACAGACATTGATTTAACAGATGCATGAAGGAGGGAAACATTTTTCAGCATTTGAATGCTGGGCTTAAAAATTGCCTTCAAGATTGAAGAATGAAAAATTTAGCTGTCCAGATAGTTTATTTGGAGATAGCGGCCATTGTTCCTACTATTCTGTTCTAGTGCCAAATTAATCTGAAGGGGTCAGGCAGACATACCTCATGATGGGAGGTCAGTGCCTGGGGCAGCCCAGGACCAAGCTCCCCCTTCCACAAGCCATCCCACCGTCATTGAGAGAAGGCCTGGTCCTGCCCTCCTCCAGGGCATTTTAATTCTGTGGCTCGCATTTCTCCTCGGTTGGTCTTTAACAGGTTCCCTGCATTTCTCCTTGGATCTTGGCTTCCTAACTCAGCATTTTCAACTTGCTTTTTAATTGCGGTCGTTCACAGAAACAGCCATATAGATTTTCTTCCTGGAATCCCCTGAGCCAGATGGCAATGACTTTCTAACTATATGACCACATACATTTGGCTGGAGCTCAGGGGAGGAGCACAGAGCCATTTTTTTCCTTGTCAAAGCCCCTGGCCAGGTGGCCACAGGAGTTCATGTAGGCAGAGTGGAAGGAGCTGGGCAGACCGCAGGACTTACCAAGTGCAACTTGTCCCCCTCTATCCATTGCCTCCAGCCACGATTCGGTTTCTCCCCCTTCTGCACAGCCACGAGGACATCGCCTTCCCAGGTGATGAGCGTCTGCAATGACAGATTCCCAGGCAAATCACATGTGAGGTCTTGAGAGACTGAATATGCCAAAAGCTGTAGCTACAATGCCTGCAGCCATTGCCCGGCTCCTGCTGGCTCTCAGCCAGCCAAGGTCCTCCCARTCTCATTTTCCACACACACCCCCCATTCTAGCTAAACCGACTGACCCAGGCTCCCTCTGTTCTCTTTYAAAGAATTTTATGCTACCATTTTATCATATGGTAAAGATAGCATTTCAAACCAGTGGGGAAAAGAYGACAAATTTGATGGTTAACAACGTAAAATTCCTGGAAGGGGAAAATTCCTCAAAGTCAACAGATAAATAACAAACCAAGAAAAAGAACTAGAGTGTCGCACCAAAGACCTGATTTCCTTATATATAAAGCGCTGCTGTAAGTCAATAAGAAAAGATTGCCAACCTAATAGTTCATGTCTACAAAGGCCACCAACAGTGTACTGGGGGAAAAAAAAAACCCTAACAGATGACTTTTCAACATAAGAAAAATATATTCAACCTCACTCGAAATAAGACAAATGCTAATAAGACTGCTTTTCAGATACAATTCATCCTGTGGTCAAAGACAAAGACTTTTGCTAACACACTGAGTTGGAAGGGAACATGGAGAAGCAGGTACCCTCATACTTGGCAGGTGGGAATAGAAAGTTTTTCAGAGGGCAATTTTATATTCCCCTTCAAAATACAAAATTGCATATTATCTTTTAGAAATTCTACTTCTGGGAATTTTTCCTACAGGAGTCACTYTGTCAGGACTGTCCTCTGTAGAATGTAAACGGAGGCAGAGAAGCTCCTTAATTAATCAGGGAGGTACCTTCATGGCTCTCTTGCCAGTGTTTTTATCTAGAACCATATGACTGGTCCTTGGTTCCCTCCAGGCAATGAGGCCAACTGGTCAGTAGCTCAGGGACAGCAGTAGAACTCACGGTGGACACCAAGCTGAGCTGACCAGCAAGGCCTGTTCGAACCCCAGAGCACTCCCACCCCTGTGCACAGATTTACAATTATACACCCTCCAAATTCYTCCTTCTGTTCTCCACTTTCCTTCCTAATACCATCTGCACAGCCCCATTCTCCCAGGTGGTCCTCCAGGGTCACCTGCCTCTGTGACTAGAGTACACCTGCTTATGCACCTGCTGTCTTTTGTCCTTGGGAATGACCCTGATGCTAGTTGGTTGTCTTGTAAGTATGCATGAGCCATCTTATACCTCTATGAGCAATATTATGCTACAGGCCAGACGTTTACTTTTTTCTCTATCTTGTAAACCCAGTTGGTAATAAACTGACCTGTGGGTTCTTGATTTTTTTTCCCCCACTATCTTGTGCATTCAAGTCTGTTTTTTTCGGCACAAATCTGTTTTCTACAGATTGTTAAATCTCCCTATTTCTAAAATAATATTTGACCTTGACCATATTACATACTTTATGTACAATTTTATTCCTCCCCATTTTCCTCCCCAGTGCRTTGAAGCATTGTTTGTTACAGCAAAGGACTGGAAGCTTCATAAATTCTGTCAGAGCGTGGCTGGTTAAATATGGTGTGGTTCTTCCCTGCTAGGCAGCCAATGAAAGAACACAGCCACAGCGTATTGTCTACATTAAAAAAAAAAAAAAAAAAAAAAAGCCAGGTGCAGAGCCCGTGCATGAAACAAGGGGGTGGGGTGGGGAGCCTGCATGGAGATGTTTGTATGTGTTCCCTGCAAGGAGGTAAAAGAAGCTCTTCATGGTGATTTTCCTTAAGGAAGGACTGAGCCAGGGGGCCAAGGAAGGAGATTTAGCTTTTTGCATGCATTAATATTCCCAAGTCCAATTTGAAAAGAAAATTCTACATTCTCCTAAAGGGAGAATAAGTCTCCTTTTCCCTCAAGGCCATCCTAAGCTTCACATCTTCCAAGGTCTTAGAGAAGTTCTAGTCACAGGCTGCTGTCTTCAATCTTCAGGGAGGGAGAAATCTCTGGAATACTCATTTGCTGTTGTCCATCATTGGTCTAGGACTTGGAGATCTCTCCCAAATAGATGACATAGAACTCTTGTCTTCCATTCTCCCTCCTCCTGTATGGCCTCGCACCTGATGGTCTCTAATACACGTTGGTTGAGTTGATGTCCATCTCTCTCAATAGGCAGAAAGCCCCATGATAGAAAGGCTACATCGCTGTGCACTTCTGCAACACCACGCTCAGCACTGTGACCTGCATTGCTGGATGGGTTTACAGTTGATTTTGAGATAAATCCACTTGCCCCCTTGTCTTAAAGAAGGTCCCCAAACAGTGCACAATGACCATCAAGATGGACAAGGTATGGTCATCGTCCATCAATTTGACCATCTTCCCCATTGAGTTCAAGACCCTGAAGACAGGAAGGGAGATCTGATTCATAATTTTCTCTCTAACTCCTGACAGAGGCCTSGTGTATACTAGGGGTTTAGCAAATTTTATGCTATATGGAAGGAAATTAAAAAAAGGTTAGCCCAAGTGGACCTGTCCTAATATTTTATTTCAATAATTCATATTGGGCAGCAAGATGACAAGTTATTCTGACCCTAAAGGAAATTGGTTTCCAAGGAATCGTGGAGATACTTACCATATGATAGACTTATTCCTTCACAAAATAGACAAGGAGAAGCAGCATGAGAGCAAGGTCAACTGAACTAAAAAGTCTCCAACTCAGTGTGCTTTTGGTTGGTGCCCTCAGCCCTGTGTCAGAGGTTTAAGGAACAGACTCAAAGGTTCTCAAAGATCCTGAGGCTAAGGAAGGAAGTGAATATAAGTGAGCAAAGCGGTTGCTTCTGAGGAAGAGGATGAGGAGGGAGGAGCCCCAGGGATGAGCAGGTTTGCAAAGAGTAAAAGAGAGAAGCCGAGCCCCACTGTGATGTCCCTTCTCACAGCGTCCAAGGCTGACATTCAAAACAGCCCTTTCCCTTAGTGAGATACAGGTAGTGTATCAATGTTCAATTTGCAGAAGTTGATACCTGTACTGGGGATACAGAAGAGAATATCCTGATTTTTTTGGAAGCACATACTGAATTATTTAGGGGAAATGCGTCTTTCTGAAAACAGTGTGTATGTTGGGGAAGGGAACAGGTGCTAATGATAAAGCGAATGGGCGATCTCCTGGTGAAGAGTAGACAGGTGGTCTTTGCTATATTCTTGTGACTTTTCTATAAATTTGAATCACTTCCCAATAAGTCCTTTTAAAAAGGAAAGTGACATCTCTGAGAGCATTGAAGTAGGCTACAACATGCTCTGCAGGGCTGGTGTCCCTCCCACCACATGCAGGGCCCACCCCYTTGCAGTCTCCAGTGCCCCTCCTTGGGGTCCTCCCCTCTCCTCCTGGGCACTGTTGACCGTAGCTGCTGCTGTCCATACCACTCTTCCAGCCCTTACTGCCTGCTCCAACTCTTGACTGATTATTATTTTTTGTTGAGATATAATTCCCAAACCACAAAACTCGCCCTTTTCAAGTATACAATTCAGAAGGTTTTGCAAACTCACAAGGTTGGGTCATTATCACTGTCTGAGCCCAGAATATTTTTATCACCCCAAGAGAAATCTTGTACTACGAGCAGTCACAGCCCCCATGCCCTCCATCCTCCACTTCCTGTCTATGAATTGGCCTATCCTGGATATTTTTGCAGAAGTCATACAACACATGGCCTCTGACATGTGGCTTCTCTCACTCGGCATCTTTTCCAAGCTCATCCACACTGAGCATGAATCAGCACTTGATGTCTTCTCATAACCGCTTGAGACCCCATGTTTCATTCATGGATATGGATTACTTCTTTATATTTTATTTCTTTTGAGGTGGCTTGTGTATTTTTTGAAAAGGGCTTTAAACCCTCTTAGAAAGAAGTCAGAGTGGGAAGTTAGGAATCTCTATGACCCACAGGAAAGGAGGAGGGATCTCCGGCCCCTTAGAGAAGAGGCAATCCCATTACAGGTCAGGCTTCATTGCTCCTACTCTGGGCTGGCACAGAACAGGGCATCTCAGGGCCTGTAGGGCCCCTGTTGTCAACCACACACACCTGTCCTTCAAGACAATGAGTGGAGTTTTTCCAGAGGATTCCTGAGGGTGACCAAGGAGTCGAGAAGCAGAGCCCTGGAGAATATGAGCATGAGAATTACCAGTACTACACCCGCTGCACAAATACACACACACACACACACAGACACACACACACACACAGAGACACACACACACACACACACACACACACACAGCTCAGGTGTGCCCTTGGCCATGACACCTGAGTTAAATTGACAGACTTGCTCACCCTGGCATCCCCTTCCTGCTGCAGGATTCCAGTCCAGTCATGGGAAGTGAGTGGTCCCATGGGCAGCTGCCCCGTGCTGTGGTTCTCATGGGAATGGACCTTCATCCAACTGGAGGTGATGCATCTCATCCCACCAGTCTTGTGTTTGTGTGTGTGTGTGTGTGTGTGTGTATGTGTGTGTGTGTTTTACCCCTGGCTTTCAGCTGCAGGAAAAGAGGAGACAAGCAGTGGAAAAGAGGTTTCTCCCTCTCTTCAGGGTAACTTTCTGATAAAGAGAGAAAGGAGAACGGAAAGTGGAAGGGAGAAGATGTGCAGGTATTGATGGGTGGGATCCTCTAAAGGTCAGGGAAGGTGGGAAGGGMATCATTTATTTCAGGAAGAGTGAGTTCGCTACCATCTCTGGTAAAGAATGGGTCAGGTCAGAGAGGACAGGTCAGATTTCAAGAGCCCACGCCMTCAACTGATAGGTAAGGAAACAGAATCTGATTAGTTTGGAACAGCAGACTATGCAAAAATTCCAAGACAAATTTTCCTATCCGTGGTGGTGTCTGATGAGTGGCTTTTCACCATAGTTCAGAATYGCCTCAGTCCATCATGCCTCAAGGACAAGGGACGTTCCAGGGTTCCCGCTCTCTTATGCCAGAACTGCTCTGATAGAGKAATTTCCAAAATGCTTTTGTCCCACCCTTTTCCTTTGTAAGGAGCATTAAATATAATTCAGCCTGATGGCTGAGATTATCAATGCTGCAGGATGGCCTGAGAAATGTGTCCTGCTCTCTTGGCTTTAGAGTCAGCACCAGAGGCCACAGCTGTTCCTCCCACCCCAGGAGAGGGGCCAGAGCTTATGTCCCTTGCTTTGGGAGAGACTTCAAAAGAGCTCATGGCTAAAGGTAAAAGCAGGGTGTAAGGGTCCTTTTTTACTGGGGCTACCTCTTGCTGGGGATGAGGACATATATACCCAGGACAGAATATTCAACCATGCCCTTCCTCGGCTTGGGAGCCAGATGGTTGGTGGCTGAGTTAACACAGAGGGAAAGAATGCTACTTATATCCAGACTTCCATCCTTCTATAAACTGCCCAGACAGACAGTGAACAGTCAATGGCACCCAAGATACATGACAAGCCAGGGAACCTTCCTTATCTCCTGGACGTGTAATCACCAGGGCTCGTTATGAAGTTAATGATAGGTGGGAAAGTCCTTAAATATGACTGAGACTGGATTTCTACCCAGTCCTGTTTGAAGATGACTCCTCACTCCCTGTTCAGGGTTGCTTTCTGCTTGCTTTTGGGGTTCCTAAGTATCCAAGTACAGTAGTCTCCTTATCTATGGGRGAATGTCTCACGACTTCCAGTGGATGCCTGAACCATGGATAGTGCTGATCCCTATTTATACTGTGTGACCAGCAGGGCTACTAAGTCACTAGCCCTCAGTAACGTATACAATATAGATATGCAAGAAAAAGAAATGACTTACATCCCAAACAATAAGGAGCTGGCAGTGTGAGAGTTCATCATCTTACTCAGAATGGCTTGCAATTTAAAACGTATGAATTATTAATTTCTAGAATTTTCTATTTATGACATTTGGACCACAATTGACTGTAGGTAACTTAAACCAYGGAAAGTGAAATCTCTGATAAGGGTGGACTACTGTAGTTCATGCAACATGGCCTTCGGATGCACAGAAGGTTTCCTAGATGATGTCCTGTGAGTTAAGGCATTTCTAGGACAGAAGCCACCAATTTGCCAGAAACTTCCGAAACTTACCAGATCTATCTAAACTCTGACTTCATGCAGTCTACTGATTTTTTTGTTAATTTGCATATTTTTCTTAATGAAAAAAATTTTTTCAGCCAGTTAGGATCATCTACAATTAAGATATTTCATATAAAAATGTTTGAAATTTCAACATCTCTTGAAAAATAAAACATAGATCTGGCACCTGGGCCTCATTCCTCCATTGCTTGGATGGGAGCTGAGCAGGGCTGCCACATTGCCCAGCCGGCCAAAGCCACTTCCCTTGCCTGTGACACTCCACCGTGACCCCTTTGCTCTGCTAGCCTGCTCATGCAGATGTGGGGYTGGGGCTGGGGCTGGGGCTGGGCAAGCTGCCTTCGATCCTGGGCAGGTTGCAATCCTTTCATCTCTCCTGAACCTGCCTCTTCCTTCTACTCAGTTTTCAATCACACAGCTCATTGCCAGCATCAATAATTCCATTCTGGTTTCTCTTCCCGGGTTTTTCTCTGTCATTTTACCATTGCGAAGCCCAACTGCTTCTGCACAAAGAGCGTGCAAGTGAGAGCCATYGGCCCGTCAGTACCTTAACATGCCTGTTGTCCAGGCCCTTTGTGTGCTCGTCAAACTCTACCCCGACAGTGAAGTCCAGGTCGTAGTTGCGGAACGTGCTGTTGGTTTTCGTCTTGAAGTTATCGCCGTTTTGTTCGATGATCTTTGTCTGAGTCAGACGTACTGCGATCTTGCGGGTGGCAAAATCAATATCTGTTGGCGAAGGGAGTTGTGGAGGTTAGGACGCGCTCAGCCACACTCATTCATTTCTCTAACAAGGCCAAACCGGAGACAGGGATCAAGTGGGAAAAAAGAGTTGGCCTATCTGGCCAGACTGGGCACCACAGGCAACTGCCAGGAAAACAGAGGAGCCTCTTGGCGTCTCCTCAGGAGCCCGGAAGGGAGGGAGAGGTGGCAGGCAAAACTCACCCTGAGCTGGGGCGTGGCTCTCATTGTGCAGGCAGGAGCACACCCACCCCTCGAGGCTCCCATTGCGCAGGCGCGCACACCTACCCCCCCCCACCCCTACAAGGCAGCGCTCCTTGCTTTCTGTTGCATTGGGCTTCCGCTATAAAGATTTCATGGGTTAGAAGAAAAACTACTTTGAAAACCCCCAGTCTGGGTCATGGGTAAAGATGAAAACTTTTCTGCGTGTCCACAGCAGGGAGAGACAGTTACAAACTTTTTAAAAGTCGGTTTGAGGCTTCCCCAGCTAGGGGGTTCTGGCCCAGTTACAGGCCCCCAGCATGGTCTTAAGTGTATCCTAGACAATAAGTGCTGGCTCCCAGAGTTTCTTTTGTTGTTTTAAATGAAAAGATTAATAATCATTCAGCTTTTTAGTGAAAAAAAAAATTGAACATATCAGAGTAAAAGGAACCCCATGTTCTCATCATCCAGATTCAACAAAGATCCAGGATTTGCCAGTGTACTCTAACTCTATTGTTTATTTTGCTTTGATGTGGTAATGCACACAGTATCTATGTCTTAGCAGTAGTTAGTAAGAGGGAGAAATCTATTTTTGAATAGAAACATTTAATTTCCTAAGCTTTGCATGTTAGAGAAGATCAGTGCTGAGTCTGCCTCCTGGCTGACCTCTGTCGAGTATACAGTGTCACTCAAGCCAAAAAGTCTTTGTCCTGAGGAACCGATCCAGAAACGGGATAATTCTGAAACTGCCAAGTYCCTATCCATGCTATGAATGTCAGCGCATTAGTGTTTAAGCCCCCTTAATGCCTGTGAACTCTTCACGTATCTTTGGATGCCAGTCTAAATCTTTTTTGCCCCCACCCTGCTCCCCAAAATCCCCTTATAAGGTTTTTAAAACCCAGAGAAGTTTATGCTTTCATAACCCCCAGGGGTAAAAATGGTCTCAAGAAGAAGAATAATGCCAATGTATTGAATGCTGTCCTCAGAATTCCCATCCCCTGTCAGTGACTAACTCCTTATTGTGCACTGTCTGGTAAGGGACCAGTGCTGCTGCACCTATGAGAGAGGCCAGCAGGTATCAGCAGTTCAGGGCGCTCTTGAGAGCTTGCAGAATTCACGTCTACCGCCTTTCTCATGATGGGTAACCATCACTTCCCCTCTCTCTCTCTGTCTCCCTAGTTCCTTTATCACTCATTTTCTTTCAGACTCTTCTGGTCACTCTTAACTCCTTCCAAAGGACCACAGTGAGACCAAGCTGGACCACCAAGCTAACAACTCACAATAGAATCACWTTTGCTCAGGGTTAGTCTTTTGGACCCTCAATGGTATAAAATCAGATTTGAACCTTAGGGAATAATGTTGAGTAACATTAGCTAGTTCAGGAGGTAAAAAGATTCATACCTGCATTTTAAGGTGAAAGGAGAAATAGGTTCAAGTTGGCATGAGAGGGTGCCTGAGTGCCAGGGTCTTGCTCACCCAATTATTCCCTACAATTTATGGGGTACTTGTCATGTCTAAGAATTCAAAAGWGGGTCCACAAAACAGTTGCCCTGAAGGACCACCTAGGAAGATGTAAAAGTTGAAGATTTCTGGTGGTAGAYCCAGTGATTTTAAATCCTGGACTTACTCATAGAAGTTSTTTGGAGGAAGATCTCCATGGTTTWAAAAAAATTGAAAACCACTGTTTAAGCACCTCCTCATCATGTTATAGGTGAGGAAGTGGAGGCTTAGAGAGGCCAGGACTTGTCTAAACATATAGAGCTGAAACAAAAGTTGAAGGGGCTTGGTAATGGTATGGATGTGCAGAGGGWCCCAGTGGGGAGGAGAAAACAGTGCTTTTGAGTTTGAGTGACCATGTTGAGAGCCAGGGAAATAAGAGAGGGAACTGATTTTATGGAGGTACTGGGGAATGAAATTAACCAAATTAAATAATGTGCATGTATGAATATGTAATAATGAGTCCCACTGCTATGTGTAATTACAATACACCAATGAAAAAGATTTAATTTTATGGTGAAATATAGCCGAMTTTAAGTAAGGTGAATAGGGAGGGCATGCTGGGTGGACTCTTGGTAATATTTGGGGGTGATAATTATCATACTTTTTGGAGTCTACTAGGAATGGTGCCCCATAGTAGAACCTCCTTTGGGAAACCTTGCTACCATAATTCTTAAAACAAACCCATAAGCKAAGTCTATTTTGTTATGGTTTGGATATGAGGTGTCCCCCCTGCCCAAAGCTCCTGGATTCATGCAAGAGGTGAGATTATTAGATTATGAGAGCCAACATAATCAGTCCATCCTAGTTTGAATAAAATGACTGGGGCAACTACAAGCAGGTGGGGTGTGGCTAGAGAGGGTGGGTCACGGAGGGCATGCTGTGGAAGGATTCATCTCCCCTGTGGCCATGAACAGAGCAGCGCTCCTCTGCCATGCCCTTCCACCATGATGTTCTGCTCACCTTTGACCTAGAGCACTGGAGTTAGCCCACCATGGACTGAATCTCTGAACCAAAGTAAGCATTTCTTTCTCTAAGTGGTACTTGTCAGGTATTTAGGTAACAGTGACAAAGAAACAACAACAACAACAACAAAAAAAAACCTGACTTAATACACAAATTGGTACTAAGAAGCAGGGTTGTTGCTGTGATTAACTTCTCTATGTGGCCCAGAAGCCTTTGGAAATGGTCTGTGGGAAGAATTTGGAAAAGTTTGAAAATTCAGGCTGAAAAAGCTTTAAAATGTTGTAAGCAGAGCTTAATGGGCAATTTTGGTGGGAGCTCAGAAGACCAGCATACCAATAGGAAGGCAGAATGTGCTCATGAGGTTTCAGAGGAAAACRAGGACTCTTTTGGGATTGGACTAGAGGCCATTCATGTTATGTTCTGGGAAGGAACTTGTCTAGGTCTTGTCCATGTCCTGAGATTTTGTGTGAGGCTCAATTTAAAAGTAGTGGACTAATTAATCTAGTGGAGGAAACTTCAAGGCAGCACAGAATTTAGTCAGTGGCATGGATTTTGCTGGCAGTTTTTAGCCAAGCCTACCGTGAGAATTCAGAGCAGATAGCAGAGCCCAAGGATTTTTAAAACTTTCAGTTTGGCCAGATAAGTGGATGTTATGTAAAATTGAGGCCAAGAAAGTTTGTGGTGGTTGAAGAGATTATAGTCACTAAAGAGATGCTAAGTACTGGACACAGAGAATATAGGAAAGATGGCTTGAGGGCATCTCAGAATTTGGAAGACCACACCCATTACAGACTCAAGGGTGTAGAAAGCAAAATTTCTTTAAGAAGAGATCATGGGGTCATCCTGGCCACACAGCAGGGCTTGAAAATGATTTCACCATGCTAATCCACCGGGGCACTCAGAGACTGTGCAGCTGTGATCYCAGGTGGCCCAGCTACTGCTTGATCTGGCAGAAGACCTTGGCTTCATTTATAAGGTGCTGGTTCTGTAAGAATGTAGGATGCTGGAGTTAAGGAACTATGGTGCAATAGTTCCAGCAATATTTCCAAGGAAGGCCTGTAAGGTCAGGCAAAGTGTAGCAGTGTCAGAATCTCTGAGATGGTGATAAGTGAATTTGTGAAGTTGAAGCCAAATTGAGGATAGATACCCCAGGAATTAAGAGATACTAATAACATGTACTATCTGCCAAGGAAAGCTGCAAAGGCTGAGGAGACAGCCAGACGAGAAGAAAGAACATGAGTGCTGCGACCAGCAAGACCAAAGGGACAAGATGGCTCCAGCCATTTGGAGAGCACATCTTGCCACCATGTGTCTTAGATACTGTATACAGATTTATGGGGACTGTCAGGTTTTTTATCATGCAGTCCCATCCCTTCTTTTTATGCCTCTGTTCCTCTCTTTTAGAACAGGAATGTTTACTCTGTGCCATTGTATTTTGGATTGTTGCAACTTGTTTTTAATTTTTACAGAGACTCATAGCCAAGAATTTGCCTTGAGTCTCAGATGAGACTTTGGACTTGGACCTTTGGGGCAATGATGGAACTGTTAAGATGATGGGACTCTTGGAGATCGACTAAATGCATTTTGTATTGTGAGATGGGCATGAGATTTTTGGGGCTCATGTTGTTGGGGCTTAGAATGTTATGGTTTATATATGAGGTGTCTCCCAAAAGCTCTTACATTAACACAGGAGGTGAAATGATGAGATTAAGAGAGCTGTAACCCTCATCAGACTATCCTAGTTTGAATGCACTAACTGGGGGGTGGGTAACTATAGGCTGGTGCGTGGCTAGAGCAGGTGGGCTACTGGGCGAATGTCCTGGAAGAGTGCATCCTCTCTGAAGCCCCTTCCCTTCTCTCTCTGCTTCCTGGCTGCTATGAATGGGGCAGTGTCCCTCCACCATGCCCTTCTGCCATGATGTTCTTCTGTCTCAACTTGCGCCCAGAGCATTGGAGTCAGCGCACCAGTTTAAGAAACTGTGAGCCCCAGATAGAATTTTCCTCCTCTGAGTTCTCAGATATTATGGTCACAGGGATGAGAAATTGACTAACTCGTATTATGTCCATTGCACCGATGAGGAAACTGGCTCAGAGGAGTTGTGTTGTTTGTCCTGGGTTTTACAGTGTGGGAGCAACAGAGATGGCATTTGTACCTAGGACAGTCTGTTTCCAGGTTCAAACTGGACTTCAAAAGTGCTGGGAGGACCCAGTTAAACCACTGTCATGTGTGCACTTTCCATGGCTGCCCCAGGTAGCACAACCTTCTGATTCTTATTAAAGTTCCCCTGGAGACCCAGGGATTTCTGGATGCAGCTGGATGAGCT